GGGTGCCCCGAAACAACAGCAAAATTCTGTCCAAAAGACAGCATCCCTTCTGCTGTAGTGGTTTCTTCCCCTTCATAGCAGGACAGCATCATTATCATGAGGAGGAGGGTCACCTGGCTTACACGGGCAGCTTTTCTCAGCCCCCCTGAAAATCCTGTTATACCTTCAGGTACTTATGGTAGCCATAAGCTGTGGGACATACAGACTAGCAGCAAGGCAGTCTTGGCTTTTTGAGTGGCGAAATCTCCCGTTTGTTTCAGTGATATTCGTTGAAATGGGACTTTGTGTACGTCCACTGAAAAAACATGCCCATGCCAAAGCAACTCCAGACTCCCTGACCCATTTTTTGTCCTCCTTATATAACAGTTTAGCAAATCCCGATGATCAGATAACTGCTTGGGCCAATAAGTAGCAATACTAACGGTCTGGTTTACACCACTTCCACCTCATCTGGATCTCCATTTTCTTTCTTATTTTTTTTTTTCTACAGCATTCCAGATATTGTAGTTGTTTATTTAACTGGCTTTATTGTTGTGGTTGTCTTTCAAACGCCAGCCTGAAATCTGCTAAGAAGCCAGGAACAAGGGAATTATAAGGTTTCCTTGACAGGTGTCAAATGACAATTAAGGTACATCCTTTTTCAACTGGGCTAGAAGGAAAGGACATTATTCAATATTTAACAGGTTTACACAGGAAGAATGTAATCACTTTGTATATGTACGTACATGTACATGTGCACTCTGAATGGATTTATTACTGTTTAAACCATTATGTAGCATGTTGCTCAAAACAGATGTGGTATTAGTGCATTTTGTTTTTCAGACCAAATCTGCATGTCTCTGTTGTATCTTGTTACTGAAAAAGCAGTCAGTTCTCCTTATCACTCAGCAATTCTGATAATATGAAGCTCACTAAAAAAATAAATTGTGCAAAACAAGCTTCAGTTTGCATTATGATTTTAATTTTTGAATTGCTGGCCCCTATGTAAAAAGGCAGCCCAAAGGAAGTGATGAAGACTCTAGGTCTGCACTGTCCAGTGAGGTCTGTGGTGACCAGGTGGTTTACTGATGAATATATACAACAGCTCACATGGAAACTGTGCCATTGAGTATTTGTGTTATGTCAGTACCTCAGCAGCATTACCTTAGCCTTTAAGCCTAGAAAGTATAGATAAGAGTGGTATAGAATTGAGAGAAAAGGTATAAAGCAACCTTCTGTGGATATTAGTGCTTGGTATATGACCCCTGTGCAACATAACAGGTACATTCTGGCTGAATGATCCATATTTTTCCTGCCATGATTAGGAATTCAGACCTATTCTACACAGGGCCTGGGAGACTCATAGTCTGCCTGTACTGATTTCAGTGGAAAAAGGGCAATTTGCACCTATGGGATGAGTTTGTATGCATTGTATCCAGTGACAAATAGGAAATCTGTGTCCCTACCAGCTTCACACATGTTTCTAAATCCTCAGCTCTGCCTCCACCCCTTTCCCATTTACTAAGTTGTTGTTAATACTGCTTCTAAAAGGAACTGAAGAAGGGATTCAGGAAAAAAAACATGCAAGATGTCTTGACGAAATAGGGTAACCTAATGTTGCATCTGCCTGGCTCATAATGGTGAGGGTAGGCTGGCACAAAGGAAGCAAAAACTGAGAAAATGAACCAGGAGAGGAGGACAGAAGAGACATAAACAAGTAAAAACAAAAGATCAAGTAGCCAGAAAGTAAGAAAACATGAATCAAATCAATTGCTGGGTGTGCATGTGCATATGTGCATGCATTAGAAGCAAACCTGATCTGGAAGACCAAACAATCCATGACAAACCTTTTACAGATCTGAGCTGGTGCACAAAAAATGGTGCACTTATAATCACCCCAAATTACAAGGATTCTAGTTGCTTATAACCTTACTTACATCAAATGATTTGCCTCACACCACGTATACTCACAGTGTTTCCATTGTCATAAGTTATTAAATAATGTACAGTTCATTTGAAAGAAAAAGGACTTCTTTTTTCCCCTGTATTTTGTTGTTGCTGACTTCTACACAATCCCATTGTCCAGTCTTCCTGGATTATATAGTGAGCAAAATGTACCGGTCCACAGAATATGTAACCTGAAAATGCTGCTTAGTCATTCACTTAGGAAGAAAAGAAACATACCAGTAAAACCCAACTGACTCAGCTCCACAATGTAATTTCACCAGACAGAATACTTCAAATGCCTTTACCAGCAGCATATAAATGCATGTGGATCTACTAATCATTCCCAGGTATAGAGAAGGAAAAGAAGCCACCTTCCTGTTGCCTTCTAAATTCATACAGTATGAGCATGGCAACGGCTGACCTCAGTGACAAATTATTTTTTCACTTCACTAAATATTTTAAAAAATTTTGTGGGAAGAAAAGTCAAGATGAAACAGTATTTTTTGAATGAAACAAAACTGGGAGGAGTGGCTGACATACCAGAAGGCTGTGCTGTCATTCAGCGAGACCTGGACAGGCTGGAGAGGTGGGTTGGGAGAAATTTAATGAAATACAACAAGGGCAAGTGTAGAGTCTTGCATCTGGGAAAGAGCAACCCCATGTACCAGTATAGGCTGGGGACTGAGCTGCTAGAGAAAAGTGTATGGGAAAGGGGCCTGGGGGTCCCGGTGGACAGCAGGGCGGCCATGAGCCAGCAAGGTGCCCTCGTGGCCAAGAAGACCAATGGCATCCTGGGGTGTATTAGAAGGGCTGTGGTCAGTAGGTCAAGAGAGGTTCTCCTCCCCCTCTACTCTGCCCTGATGAGACCGCCTCTGGAATAGTGTGTCCAGTTCTGGGCCCCTCAGTTCAAGAAGGACAGGGAACTGCTTGAAAGAGCCCAACACAGAGCCACAGAGGTGATTAAGGGGGTGGAACATCTCCCTGATGATGGAAGGCTGAGGGAGCTGGGTCTCTTGAGCTTGGAGGAGACAGAGGGGTGACCTCATCAATGTTTATAGATATGGAAAGGGCGGGTGTCAGAAGGATGTAGCCGGGCTCTTCTCGGTGATGGCCAATGACAGGACAAGGGACAACAGATGCAAGCTGGAGCACAGGAGGTTCTACATTAACATAAGGAAAATCTTTTTCCGTGTGAGGGTGGCAGAGCCCTGGAACAGGCTGCCCAGAGAGGTTGTGGAGTCTCCTTCTCTGGAGACATTCAAAACCCGCCTACTCTGGGTGGTCCTGCTCTGGCAGGGGGGTTGGACTAGATGATCTTTCGAGGTCCCTTCCAACCCCTAACATTCTGTCATTCTGTCATTCTGTGTGAAAGCTTTCTCCCCAAATCACAACATGAGGGGAGAAATTCATTCTGTATCAAATTGTTCCGTTTCAGCAGAACAATATTTTGCATTTTTAAAGTTTTTATATTAATTTGGAGAAAATGTTAAGTGGATTGGAGCAGCACTTTCTCACGGTTCATTTTAAAAATCACTGCAATTAAACCATTTCAACTGGGAGATGAAGGCGTTGCCTGTAAGAGAGAAAAACAGGTTCAGCAAACTGCCGTGAATTTGAAACTATTAAGTATTCACATACTTTAGAAGAGCAAAATCTGCCTCATTGCGTCTGCAACAACTTGAGGCTATGACACTTCTGCCTCCCTCTAATGAATGGCATTATCAGCAAGCACCACACATCTTTCATCCTTGCACAATTAGAAAATGGGGAAAAATTTCCCAGGTGGGTGCTTTAGGTTAGACCCCTGCATCTATATTTAGACACATGAATTTCACAAGCAGCTTAAGCTGTCAAGGCCCTGAAAGGAGCAATCCCTCTCTCCCTCCTTCCTACCTGCTCACTGTCACCTTCTCCTTGCCCTCTGCCTTGTGATCGAACAAGCACTAATGAAGTCCTGTACTGACCACAGCTGCGAAAGAGCAAAAATATGTCCCTTTAGCTTGGATCAGTGCTCTGATCCTTCACTTGAGAAGTGGTAGTGCCCTGATACTTCACTTGAGAAGTGGTGGCAGAGAGGCGGGTACAAGAAGGCATGGGTAAGAAAGTACTGGGCAGTGCTCATCTGTCGCATTCAGAAAAATGTGGTCTAACAAGCTGTGAGCAACTACAGCTTTTTCTGTAGATAATGGTTCAAAAATGTTCATCTTAGCTCATATTGCATATTACAGATTTTTTTTTTTTTTTTTTTGGTCAAAGGTGAAAAACTAAAGATGGTGGTATGCATAAAAAGAGAGAGACAGAAAGAGGGAATATTCCTGCACCTGGGTAAATCATGTCAATAAAAGGAGGTCTGAGTTAAAGTAATGGAGAATCTAACCCTGACTGAAGTGTGTCCCAAATCACAATCAACATGTCATAAGAAGTGAGTGCCATTAGGTCTCGACAAAAGAAACAAGAGTGCTGAATGCTTAACTACCTAGCAAAATAAGTTTATTTTCTGAGCAGCCTGTGTATTTTATTATCTGAAGCCTCTAGGATCCCCAGTATCATGCAGTAACAGTAGAAAGCATGGATGGATATCCCAAAGTGTATTGTTTGGAGTGAGAAAACTACTGGTTCAAGAGAAACATAACTGGTTGACTGTCAGCTTCCAGTAACTATTTCCACTTTCATTGCCTGGAGTATGGAAGCATTAGAAGACACCTATTCCTCTAATTATTATTGCATATTTATGGCTATATCCCATACTGTGATTTCTAAAATGAAAGTACATACCTGAGAGATGTTATGGGAATTGAGGTGAAGGGATACCAAGGTATATTTTTAGTTAATCTGTACATGCTTTTGCAGAAGTGGATAATACAAGAATTTTTGGTTTTCTTTTAAATAGATCTGTTTACAAATAAGTCATGTGCCCTTCATGTGCTAGAAAAGCAGTTGCGAATAAAAAAAGTGAAAGTTGTTCCTGATGACGTTTGAAAAGCTAATTAATACTTAGGAAACTATGGCTCATTGAAATAATTTTTACATGTTTTATTTCCATGTGTATGTGCATGTCTGTATGTCTTCCACAGGCTGGAACAAGAAATACAGAAATTAGAAAGTGAAGAATCCCAAATATCTGCCAAAGAACAAATAATTTTGGAGAAACTAAAGGAGACTGAGAAATCCTTCGACAACTTGCAAAAGGTATTTTTTTTAAAAAAAAAAAAAAAGTTGCTTGGGCACAGATTCAGACCAAGATACACTCTTAGCAGTGTTTGAGAGCAGCAGTTATAATTCCTGCACTTATGGAAAGATTGAGGGCAGTTGCAAAGCACATACCTCAGACCAGGATGTACCAGACTAGAAAAGATAAAGAGGTGTCAGATCTCTTGGTTGGGTTATTTGGATTTCCCATTTCCGCTCCAGCTTTTTTTGAAGAGCGATTTCAGAGACCATCTCACTAGCTTATCTGCAGGGAAAAAATATGAGCTTTCAGCCCCACTGAAAGATGTGAGCAGATTCCTGACAGGCATCTCAAATTTCCTTGCTCCCAGCAGCACCCAGAGATAGTGGCATTCACCACAAATGCCACTTCTGAACATTACAAGCTGCAACAAACAACAGTATTCTCCTTTTAGCTACACCATGTCCGTCTCCCTCAGCCTCTAATGGCACCTAAAGCTGAGAAGCCATATTCTCAGTTACCCATTTAAAAATTACAAAGAACCATAAAGGCAAGCTTAGCTTAAAATCAAGAATTCATGCAAATTATACGCAAAATGTAAAAGGTTTACCAAACATCTTATTTTTTTTCCCTTCACAGAGTTTCTCACACCAGGATGGTGGTAAGTGTCTTTTTATTATCGTATAGCTTTGAGTTTAACAAGAGGTTACTGTAGCTTTGTTGCAAAGGTTTACAGAGTGGTGATTCTTCTTTTAATTGGATGTTTCTGATTTATTGCTAGAGCCATTACTTCTTTCCTTGGTGTTGCTGTCATATAAGCACAAACATCACTATTGTGGTGAAACAGTACTCCTTTGGCAGAACTCGATCTCTTCTTATGTGTACACAAGCGGAAAGAACAGCATGAATGACTTAAAACAGACAACATACAACTCCTATTTTATTGACCCCTTTCGCCACATGATAGCCCTGCACTGCAGACTCCTTTTCACATCTCTGTCAGTCTTCTCCATTGTATGTGCTCCTGCTCTGTTCATAAATAGTTAAATACAATGATGACTATTCCTAATATACAGGAAGAACTATTAAAATTAGATTACTTCTCTGAATATTGATATTCTCTGTGTGATGATTCTTACAAAAGGAAAACCTTGCATGGCTGGATAAGGAATTAATAATTCGTAGTTTTTGAAGTCACTGTCACAGTATGTGTGATCAGTCTAAATACTGAGCTATAAATTTAGGTGTTTGAGTGAGCAAATAATATGGTTGGTTCCCAGGAAGCTAGACAGATCCTTGTAGTTCCTCTCCAGGACCCTTAGGACCCAGGAAGGATATCATGCTGATCCATCTGCAGATAAATCTCTGCTCCAGACACTTATTCTCAGTACATGTCTTCGAACTGACAAGATTCAAAATACTGAGGTCAAGACTACCTCCTCCAGCTGCTGTCAAAGCCATGTCCAACTGTACTGTGAGTACAGATGAAGAATATGTAGGATGATCCTAACATTAAAGCACTGGGACACAATGGAAGGTTAATATGCAGAATATGAGCTGGCTTGGAGGTGTCTTTTTGAGGTGATTAATATTGCTTAGTAAGAGGGTTTTCTTTTTGGCTCATAGATCTGGTTCAGAAATTTTCACTTCTGTGAGCAATGAAATTCAAGTTTTACGTCAAAATCCCATTGTCAAAAAAAAAATAAGTGCCAGATAGGGTGCTCCATGGTAGGGACTTACTCTTCCTTCTTCCTAGAGCATTTGAAATTGGCTACCACAAAGTAAATAAAGATCCAGAATGACAACTATTTTGTATCTATGTGGAGTTTCACTGTGGTTGTTGCTAAGTTTCCAAAAGGAATGATGCCTACAGGATTCAGCACCCAAAGTGCACAGGAGCTCTTATGACTCCTGCAAGATGCAGTCTGCCTCTTCATGTGTGTTGTGATAAAATGGGAACCAAAGGAAGACCCAGCTAGCAAATACGAAGCGGTAGTTTCCCCAAAGGCATTTTCTATGTAGTATTGTAGTTTCATTGGGTTTGAGAGGAGCCTCGCGCTCTCCAGATTTTGCCTGCTTTCAGTGGATCACTCCCTCACAGACTGAGCCAGAAGCAAGGACAGCTCATGATTTCAGAACAGCTACAGAAAACTACAAGATCATACCAAAGGCAAGAGAACACCTCCAGAATAAATGTGCAAGCAGAGGGAGCAGGGGTTATAGCTAAGTTAAGTGGTACCTCTTCTCTTTCAGACCACTTGCTTTGTGTATCTTGTCTCTTCCTCTCAGCAGCTGATCCCTGCGGGCTGGGGTGGGCCCAGGTCATCCTCTAAGCAGTACCATACTCTGCTCCTCTAGGAATGGTCAAGGCTGCAAGCTGTCCTGTTAGCCCTCCTGCTGTGGGCATGATGTGACCGTACACCTTCACACGGTGAACACTGAGCAGGTCCTCTGTTTTCTGCTTTCTGACAACAGTCTGTGAGGGTAGCTGATCAGGATAGGAAGAAAACACATACATAACTAGCTGCGAGCCCTTTGGTACCACAGATTTTTCCTTCCTTCAAAAACATGTAGGACTTTGTTGCAGCTGATCAGCCACCTGTCTGGCAACCGTCTGTAACACATGCTGCAGAGGGAAATAGTAGGAGCCACTGGATAATACAGGAAGGCTGTGTAAAACAGACACAAACCAATACTGACCTGTTGGGGCAATTTCTTCAATTGCTGACACATCCTGAAAGACTTTGCGTCCATAAATGTCACATTACTTTGCTCTGGGTCTATCCCTCCCTTTATTCTAAACACCATGATGGTACATAAAGTGATTTATCTCACCATTGTGTCCCTGTGCATGTTTTTGTGCCATATATATAGTGGTGACAGAGCTTTTGAGTGTGCAGAAAGCACAGCTAGAGACTTCAAAGCCCAGAGGGGTCCAGTCAAAGGCTGTGAGGGAATGGGATATGTGGTGGTGAGGACCAGTGGCCAATCAAGTGACCCTCTGTGCCCTTCCTACCCTTCTCAGAAAACAACTGTGTTTGGCAATGATCATTTCTGAGCTTGAAGTCATCCAGGCACAATAATGCAAATCCCTCATTTTCCAGGGTACAAACACACTTTGCCTTTATAGATGACCACGTAAGAGAAAGCAGAGCAGAAATGCTGAGGCTGGGGGCTGTGGCCCTGTCACCTGCAGTTATGCTTCTGCCAGCTCATTGATGGCTTGTTGCTATCAAGCTCTCCATTTAATAAGGCCTGAGATGATGCTAGGAATGACATCATTTGTTGCTGCTCAGATCTGCAGTAGAAACCAGGCATGCCTTAGTGTTTTGCTGGATGCAAATTGTGAATGAATTGAAAACTCCTGTATACATAAGTTTGTGGCTCAATATATATATAAAATAAAAGCCATATTAAGATCTTATGTTAACTCCCTTGATGGTGCTGAATTTGCTTCAGGGGTAAATTCATCCTCTGCAATCTTTGGCCATCTGTATGCAAACTGCGTGCTGCTACTTCAGCCAGTATACAGAAGCCATAATTAAAGTAGCTCTACGGTTTGCACAAACCTCTGTTTGCATTTGGTAGGTATTAGCATATATTTGGCAAAAATGCATCTCTGGAAACTTGTTCTAGATTGTTTAGTTCCCAACACATTGCTTAGAGACTCACCTGGTTTTCTTTCCTCTGATCTTGATCAGCTGTGCAGCCCAACAGCAAAACAGATGAGCATGTCCTCAGAGGAGTCAAGTACAGGTCTTTGTAGAGTGCTTTCCATGTGTCCTGTAAAAACTCATCATGACTGTTTTTCCATTGTAGGGGTTTAAGTAACTTTTTAATTTGATCTGCATCTATGGCTGCCACGATTACAGCATCTCTGGCCACCTGAGTGAAAAACATTGATCACCACCCTTTGAGTGCAGCCTGCTAGCCAATTTCCTCCCCATCTTGCAGACCACCCATTCGATCTGTATCTTGCCAGTTTGTTCAGGAGAAGGCTCTGGGAAACAGTGTCAAAGCTTTGCAGAAATCCAAGTAAGCAACAGCCACTGCTCTTCCCATGTCAACAGAAGAGGTTATTTTGTTGTAAAAGGTGATTAGGTTAGTCTGTCATGATTTGTCCATGGTAAATTTGTGCTGGCTTTTCCCTCCTTCATTTGGATTGTAATAGTTTCTAGGAGGACTTATTCCATTACTTTCCAGGGAATGAAGTAGGACCAATGGGCCTCTAGTTTCCTGGGTCCTCTTTTGTTTCCTTCCTATAGATGGGCATGACATTTTCCCTCTTCCAGTCACCAGGGACATCCCCTGATCTCCATGACTTTCAAATATTATAGATAGTCTCGTTGCAACAACTTTTAGCCACTTCTCTTAACATATTGGGTTGGATTCCAACTAGACCCATGGAATTATGAGCCCTTGCAAGAGGCCACAGACCAGCCCTTCCCCCACTACTGGCAGGTCAACGCATGAGTTGTCGTAGCTACTTGATCTTGTGATCTGAGGTCCAGATACACCAGTAAGAACAGAGGCAAAGAAGGTATTGAGAACACCTGCCTTGTCTGCATTGTTAATGACTAGTTTTCCTGCCCTGTTTAGTAGTGGGTGTATGTCTTCCCTGGGCTTCTGCTTACTGCTTACAAATTTGAAGAACCCTTTCTTGTTGTACTTGACACCTTTGGCCAATTTCAGTGCTAGATGAACCTTCCTGACTGCATCTCTGCATCCCCTAGCAAGGTTCTTGTAGTCCTCAATGGCTATTTGGCTGCCTTGCCATAGCCAGTACGGTTCTTTTTTGCTTTTAATGACACCTAAAAGCTCATTGTTAGGTCAGGATGGCCTTTTGTTCAGCCTTCTTCCTTTCCCTTAGTAGAGGATGGACTGTCCTTGTGCTTTCAGCAGGCACTCTTGAATAATTCCCAGGACTCACAAGCTCCTTCACCCTCCATGGATGCTTCCCAACGGAATCCCTCGCAGTTTGTCTCTGAGCATGTTGAAGTTGGCTCTTCTAAAATTCAGGGTCTTTGTCCTGCTACTGGTCTTCATTGTGCTCAGCAGGATCTTAAACTCAGCGCTGTTGTGGTCACAAGGCTATCATTGGTAGTTACGTTGTCAAGTAAGTCTCAGTTTGCAAGCAGTATATCTAGCAGCGTGCTGGTCCTAGTTGGCATGTCCAGCATTTATAGCAGGAAGCTGTCCTCAATGTGTGTCAGGAACCTGATGGACAGTTTGTGCACCAATTTTTTTTTTTTCTAACAAATGTCTAGGTGATTGAAGCTATGCAAGAGAACCAGCTTCTGTTGGTCTGAGACTTCCTTGAGCAGCCAAAGTAAGGTTTTGTTGGCTTTGTCATCCTGATTAGGTCAGTAACAAGTACCTAACACAAGATCCCTCTTGGTGGTGATCTCTCTAATCCTGATGCAAAGGCATTCATTCCATAGAATCAGCGTAGTCTCTAGAGCTCTCCTCTATACAGTCAAATTGCTCTTTCACATAAAATGTAACTAACTCCACCTCTTTTTCTTCCTTTTCTATCTTTCTGAAAGTGTTTGTAGCCATCCATTGTGGTCTTCCTGTTATTTGAGTTTTCCCACCAAGTTTCTGTGATTCCTATGACATCTCTCAGGCTGGGAATGGATCTCTAGTCTCCTGCTTGTTGCACAGATTACATGCATTAGTATACAAGCACTGGAGGTGGCTGAACTTAGGGTTCTTGGCTTTGGAAAGGGTTGGTGAGCGTTCCTGACTGCTCTGATAGGTGCGCTCATCCACCCTTTTGCTTATGGATATACAGGTGTCAATTGTGGACCCTACCACCGAAGTTCAGTAGTTGAAAGAATGATTCACTAGGTCAGAGCCAGGCTATTCAGCTTTTAGCAAAGCTTCCTGCTTAAACCTCCATTTGTGGTTTTACCAATGTGCTGGGAGGGTCATAATCTCTGTTCCCTCTGATGCAGCCCTGTGGAGCCCCAGAGGGCTTTGCAGGTGGAATAGCCTGCCCTGAGACCCAGTATTTGCACCAGTGATTTTAGTGGTAGATAGACTTTCTAAAGATAATCCAGCCCTTGGAAAATGAGCTTGTCTGACTTTGGGCCACAAGCCTCTGCGTGGGAGCTATTCTGAGCAGTTCTGAAGCTTTAATTTTGTGTGAGCTCCCTTGAAGGATTATCTTGCCCCATATGTTTTCCCAAGCACTTGTCTGTCTGATAATATGGAAGAGTGCCATACTCCTAAAATGCAGTTTGTTGTAAGTAGTACAAAAAGCCACAGGACATGTTTTATGGCATGCTTAGATATTAATAACTCATCAAAGCTTCAAATGAAGATATTGAATGCAGTCAGTTCAAATGGTTCAATTTATATTCTGTCTCACTTCTCATGTGAATTAAATGCTAATTTGCATCTCATCCGCTCCTCGTAAAATTGATCTCTTACATCCTTTCTAAAGGTGCTAAATGAAACAGACCTTGTTGCCAGTGAGATAAAGGGAAATGAGCATATTTGTTTTCTTTGGGGTGTGCAAGACAGAAACTGGCAGGATCAACCAAGCGCCAGCTTATTCTAGTCAAATACCTCATTTCTGGGACACTTGGGACCCACTTGCTTCAGAAGAAAGTACACAAGAATCTCACCCCCGATCACCACACCACCCCCAGCATTCACTTCTTAGGACAATGATGAGAGATTATGAGGAGCCCTGAAGTGACTTTTTAATATTTTATTCTAAGTAGCATACAGAGAAGTTTCTAAACTGAGTTGATATTAACAACATATAACACTTACCTAGGTATTGTCTCCTAGCACGGAAGGCAAAAACCCCACAACTTACTAACGTCCACAGACATGTATGGCATCAGAGTGAGAGTTTCACCATCAAGCTGTACGACTTATCTTGCTTACTGCTAGATCTCAGCAGTGCTAGCTGTCAGGATGGTCAGCTCAGTTCCCTGTACATGCACCGGGGAAAAAGACACTTGTAAAGGATTTTGCCTCCTGCAATGCCATGGGATGAGAATTGTACCCTGACCGTGACTATTTATTCTCATGGACTGCAAAAGAAGTAAGGAAGATTAGTTAAGCAGCACAAGTCTGCACTGATTACACACACGTGTGGACAAACAGGTCTGTCACTCAAGTCACTGGATGAGTGTATACTGAAACTAGTGTTCTAGCAGTACACTCTACAGAGTGAATAATTACTAAATTTCTGCCATTTCCAGAACACAAAGTGCCTTCTTATTCTGGCCCAGAAACATACTCCCCACTTTATCCTTCTGAGAAATCACTTCAGTTTTCTATAATGGCCTGCTCATTTGCTGGTCATATTTCCTGGAATAACAACACCAAGCATTGTATCAATTTCTCACCAGAGGCAAGAAACCCTGCAAAAGAAAGCAGCTGTTGCTGGCCATTGCTCAGTCAGCTGTGTCCTAAACAATTATTTCTCCTAGGCTCTAGTGCTAAAAATAAAAAAACTTTGAGGAAACAGTATGCATTGAAAATATAAAAGCCCATTTGCCAGGACTGCCATTTGTCCACTGAAGTAATAAAATAGTATTTCCCTGGCCAAGTTTTTTTTTTTAATTCATCTGTTACAAACTGAACTTACATACTAACTTCCTGGATTTCTGGAATGAATTTACACTGTGCCTCTGTGCCATCCTTCTCTGACGCAGGAAGGGGCAAAGGGAACCCCCTTATCTGAGTCACTTACAGTGCTCCATGGATGGAGTGTCTTCTTGGGGACTATGATTGCTCTCTTCCTGCACCCAGCAGCACTGGTGGCCACTGCAGGCTGTTAAGGTGCTAAACCATTTCACTGATACCAGGCCCAGTTTTCCTTCCAAAGGAGCAGACTTTGGGATTAGAGGTGGCACATCATGTCTTTGCTGAGGATGCCACCAGGTGTAGGCTTTTTTTCCGGGGTGGGTGTTAAGCCATAGGGAATGTGATGAAAATGCCTCTTTTCACCACATGCAGTCAAGCAGCCTGCAACAGGCCACTTCATTTTCTCTCTCCTTTCACCAGTTCACATTTATGGTCTGTGCTGGTCTTCCTATCTCTCTTTATGTATAACCTTAAATAATGACAAGAGGCACCAAGGAAGGCAGATTCTGCCTCCTACCCAGACACATGGACCAGGCCATACCAAGGGCTCAGCAATTTAAATTACATATTGTACCAGCAAAGTACCCTTGGAGGAAAAAGAATGCTCTGTTTCACACCAAATGGGATCTTATGTTTGAACAGAAGTTAACCGTTTCCATATAAAACTGAAAACATTTCCTGTGGATAGGAAAGAATGTGATTTTTAATTTTTTTTTCTTTTTCATTTTGGTTTGATGCTTGAACTGTAGGTCAGTTATTTGCACATCTCTCCTCTGAGCTCTGCGTTTAGCTTAGCCGGTGAATCCAAGCAGAACAATATACACTATCTGGTTATATTTAACACAGCCACAAAACATCTCTGGGTAAATATTTGTAAATTTCTTTAATGTCTCTTCTAAAGAACATATGTAGCTTACGCTAAGCAACCATAAGCTCAAATGTGAAACAGGTCTGTCCTTTAAGATAGCTTTCTACTTGTTCAGAGTTTGCTAATGAACAATGGCACTGCAGAACCGGCGGGGGGTTAATACCTACTGAAGGTCACAACAGGCACCCTATCAGTATCTATATGTGATTTCATTATTAGCTAAATTTCAGTTTTAAGAACAAAAAGCCAAATGCCAGTTCAATAATATCAGAAACAACCAGTGCAAAAGAGCTGGCCTTTCATTCCATTCAGTCAACACTAGCATTTTTAGGCTTTTATATCTCTATTTGAAATGTCATGTATTCTGGGTATCACATTAGGTTTGCTCCTTACCTTCCCCCTCTCTCCCCTCCATTTTAAAGGTCACGGACTTGATAAATCCAGAACCCCCTGACAAATAATTTTATGTGTTCAACTGACATAAGGTTTGAGTCATCTGGACCCATTCCCTCCTGCCTCAGCTAGTCTATTGAACAGCAATCACACGACAGTGACTTCGCACTTTGTTTGCTTTGATGCAATTATCTAGTACAAAGCTCCAGTGACTATTGTCAGGGCTGACAACACTCTGCTGTCTAAGCAATGAAGCCACTGGGGCTCGTAGCATGAATCTAACTGTTTCCTGTTCTCTGACACCAGATGCAGTAAATTACATTTACTCCCAGATCCCTGAACTCCCAACCCTCTATTCACGAACAGCAGAGCCAGTTCCTGGGTGGGACGGAGCAAGCAGAGTAGCTGGTAAGTCTCAAGGAACAAAGTGTTATAATGCCAGTCCAGTAGCCATGAACTTTTTTTGTTATATTACCTTAATGGGTCTGGTGTCTCGATATCATTTAAATGCCAGGAAATGCTGCTTGAATTTTATTTTGTAAATAAGTCAAGGGTTTTTGAGCAGCAATGAGAACGTTCAAAACAATGTAGTTGAACTACATACAAGTCCAGGTTTTTTACATAGAAACATTCAGTTCTTTCAATCTCTGCTAATACAAATACATGGTATCTAGGCCAAGGTTTTGTTTCCTCCATTGTACCCCTGCAACTCCCATTAAGATGAATGAGACAGACAGGCACCCACAAGACCCTATAGGTGCCTCAAACATTTATGTCATTTTGTATTTATTTGTATGCCATTGTTTTTTCTTGGGGAAAAGGTGGGGAGAATTAAGGTATGTTTTGTGCTTAGAGTCATACAGAGAATTTTCTAACAAATTTTTGTGATTGAGTATGTGTCTTAAATGTAATAACATGATTGTTAAAAGCTCTATGTTTTTCTTATTTTCAAGATCCTTCTTTTCTAAAAAATGTCTTCCCTATCTCAAGACGAGATTGCTGGTAGCTATTTAAGAGATGTCTCAAGGAGTGGGAATGAAAGGTGGCTTACTTGAATAGTGGGTTAACAAGCATAGTGTCTGCAGCTAAGACACTGTACACATCCATGGGACATGTCATTTTGTTCAGAGGTCCTGTTGCAAGCCATTCCAAAATTTTCCCTTTCACCAGTGCTTACCCTGATCTGTCTTGAAAGCAAGCTTTCCCCTGTGTGTTTTGTGCCATTTTGTCAACACCAAGAAAACAATAATTTCCTTCATTCTGTGAAGCTTTGTTCCATGTAGTCCTTGATGAGAGTATCATATGTGTGCAATAGGTTAGAGAAAAGGCACTAGCATATATGCTCAAAGGTGGACTGTAAGCATCCATGTTAAAACAAGCTCAAAGTCTATTAAGATTTTTTTTCAAGAACAGCCTCTGAATCCACATAACAGGCAGAAGCCAAATCCTTTCATCTGCACATTGGGATCTTGTTGTGAAGCACTGCATCATGTTACACTGTAATTAAAGCTTGTGCAGAAAACTTGTACCTGTGAATACTGGCTGTCAGCTTCAAGTACTGCTTTCAGTTTCAACTCCGTTGTCACAGTAGGTAGTTTTGTATTGTATTAATAGAACACATTTTGCAGTAAATAAGCTGGTTAAATAAAGATGTTTTAGAAATCAACATTAGTTCATTTTTCATCTACTTTGACAAGCTGGGCTGCTAGGTTTTCCTGCAGAGAATTAACATTATGCATACAGGCAGATAAGCCAGGTTCTATTATTCACTTCTCCCATGGCAATGCATTTCACTAGTGAACAGCTTTCTAAGAAACTTGCACATTTTTATGCATTTACTTTAGCTTTAATGCGATCCCAGGGGCAGATCATAAACCACATGTTAGACCAATATCTAAAAATCTGCTGCTGAAATCATGGTAGAAGAAATGAAAACAAAATGTTCACAGTGGCAAATGCTTAAGCAAATTAGACAAACATAAAATACACAAGGACCACACCTGTTAATTTTCTAGATCAGATCAGCCAGTAGGACGGAGTCTTCCAAGCAGTGCTAGAACTTGTTGCCCAAAGCCTTCCTGATAAGGAAGATATAACTTACCAGTACTCCATACCATAGATAAGAAGATGTATCTTGCAACTCTTCCTAAATATGGCCAGGTCCACACAATTTAGCTATCAGATTTCCCCTATCTGCTTCTTAATTCAGGCCGACTATAAAAGCCTTCTTTTATAGCACACTACTGAATGAAATGCGTTCATCAAAACAGGGAGAGTCTGGCAGGTTGCACCCTCTTCTGCACTAAAAATATCTGCAGTAACATGGCACTCAACTATTTCACAGGAAAATCAGCAACCTTTACTGAAAAGTCATGCCCTAGATAATGTTTGTATTTTTCCAGCTCCAGGGGAGCTCAGGGTGCTGCTTCTCACCAAGAAGGTTGTGGGTGGCCAGTCACTGGGCCAACGGTGCCCTCTCTGCAAAGCTGTCATGCTTAGGATAATTCAGGAACTTCTGCCCATCAGAGGTGATTTTCTGGACATGCTGTTGTTCCCTCATAGTTTACCTTTGCTTCAGTTCAGCTGGCTGCCACTCAAGAACCTGCCATTGTGTCAGTTTTAGCATCTTCACCGCAGGATAGCTGGTCTCTATTTTTACTTCTGTAATGTTGGAACTTATTGAACAATATCTGCCTGAGCAGCCCTGGCAAGGTCAAGCGATGTTCAAAGCCCACTTGCCCAAGGCCCAGGGCCCAAACCAATAAAAGAAATTCCCATTCCTTTCCTCCTCCCCCTCACCCCCACCCAAGAAACTGCACCTAGAAGGGAGCAAATGCCAGCATGTTAGTGGTAGCACCTGCATCTTTTTGTTTCATGGCCTCTATAAATTGGATTAAAGGCTTCAGGGCAGAGGTTCTTGCATGAGACTTGATGGGCACTTGCCCATCAGCTCCTGGGCTGGTACGGTCCCATGCAAGTGATCCAGGCCAGCTGCTCTCTGAGCTGCACCATGTGTGCCACAGCTCCTCAGAGCAACCTGCTTAAGGGCTTAATTGCTACTGGCCCTGGAGTGACAGTGTTCTTCCTTATTTCCAGCCTAAATCTCCCCTGTTTCAGTCCATGCCACCTGCCTTTCAGTCTCCTGCCACATACCTAAGAGCAGAGCCCAGCTCTTTTTTTACAGCCTCCTCCTGGCTGCTCAAGCTGGTGTGGGGTAGCCAGGCATGAAAACTCCAGCATGGGAGAGAGAGACTAGAAAACTGATATTCGTGCTTCGTTGTGAAGATGGGCATCCTGTGCTCAGGGTCAGCTATGGACTCAGCCAGTGCATAAACCTCCCAAAGCAGTGGTGAAACACAGTCCTTAGGGATATTCTCCTAGCTTGCAATGGCCAAGGTGAGATCCCTGCTTCTGCAGCTCGCTACAACCTTCAGCAATGCCTTGCTCTCAGAGGTAGCGATGCTTCTTCACCCACCAGCACCTCTCTCTTCCGGCTCCATGCAGGTGTTTGTGGGGTGCTGCACTTGACCTAACCAGTCCTGCAGGGCTGACCAAGGTCTGAGCAGATGTACACAGCATGTAGATGGCCAGACCCCTGCCCCTTTGGCTGGGCTGCCTACCAGACTGCGCTCCTGGGGGCCAGAAGACACCACCCTGGGGGCACCAGCATGCACTTACCCAGCAATACATGAATTTTCTCTCTAGAGCTATAGGGAGAGTCATGCTGCACATAATGATAAACTTGCTATTGCTGATGAAATACTTTGCTTTAAGGATACAAAAAAAAAAAAAACAAAACAACTCTATTGTGCATGAGTAATAAGACTAAGGGAATATATTCAAGCAAGAGTAAATCTTTATATTCATTACTTTTTAAATACAAGCATACCAAGCTACATTGGTTCTTGGGGCAAGGATATGACTTGAAAATAAATCAGGAAAAAAAAGCCAACACATCACTTTGTGGCATCCCCAGGTAAGACAAATCATGATTATACCATTGAGGTTCATTGGTGGAAACAGTCGCTGTAAGTTTCAAAAACGCTTGTCACTGCGTGTGGTAATTTGTAACGTAAGTGTCTGTGGATGTCTGTCCAGGAGCAAAAATGTCATCATCTGCATACAAGGAATGCTTAAACAGATGACCACTTCTGGAAAATCTGTGAGACCTTTGCACATTTTTCTTTGAAAAGCTGTCTAGTGAGATGCCATCATATCTCAAAATGGGTGTCAGAGTGGTGTAGACTGCCTGTCTGTTCCTACTGTGTGGTCTCTACAATTTTCAATCTTGTTACTGCGTCTTTCTTAACTGCTAGAAAAGCTTCTTTGCTGTTCTAAAGCAACATCCCTCACACACGTTTTTACCTGTTGTTTCATGATGCTTTGAGAATCAGTTTATTATTACTTTTTCCTTCAACTTTGGCAATGGTGCTTAAGGCCTAATTCAAATAAACACAGGAGCACTTCCTGGCCATTTTGTACGTTCTCTTAACCTTCAAACAGAGATCACCGTCGATGCCTTGGTGTGGAAGCTGAGACCTGCCCTGCCACACATCTGCAGGAGAAATTATCCCATTCCTGTGCGATTTTGTTTTCTCACCTGTAGAGCAGGGGTAAACAATGTTTCTTCACCTCTCTAAGATGTTTTGAATGCTACGGATGGAAGAGTTAAGCAAGAACAAGCATTGATAATAAAACAGTCTGGGTGTTACTTGCAGCAAACAAAACTTGTTACCAGCTAACTGGCAGTTTGATGGCAGAGAAGGAAAAGAGAGTAGAGAGGTTCCTGGAGATGAGTTTCTGTGAATTTTGAGGCAAGTTCAGAATGGAAAGGTTGAGGGCAACCTGCATGCTGTCACCTCCCTTTGTCTAAATTACACCTAACCCAAGTGCTCTTGGTGCTCCTAATAGATCAGAGGCAACTCCACGTGGCATGAGATGGAAGACTAGGTCCTGTTTGCCACAGGTATGCCTAGCCTCCGGCTGCATAAAAAGCTATAGTGTAATAACTATCTCTGTCCACAGCATTGCGTCCCACTTCTAATGTAGAACACTTGGCCCTTTATAAGCAGGAGGTAGGAAAAGGGGCACCTTAATTTTCTTTGTCTGTTTGGCAATTAACCATTCACTGGCTTTTTTTGTTGTAACATGCACTTCCTCTCTTGTTTTCATTCAAGCTCTGTGCACCATGGAAATTAATGTGGAGAAAGACAAACAGACAGGAGAGACCAAGATTGTCTCTGCTTCACCTATTGGCCCAGATGAGGCCCATCAAAGAGGATTCAAAGTCTGTGATGATGATACCAAGGTAGTCTATGAGGTTCACTCTGGTGGCACAGTGGTAGAAAACGGAGTACATAAATTAAGCTCAAAGGACGTAGATGAACTTATGCAAAAAGCTGGACAATCAAGTGTAAAAGGAGGGTATGAAACAATGACTGTCTCAGACAGAAATGCGGTAGCCGACGGAAACCTTAGCCATACGAAGGAGCAAATGCTCTTCAAGGAGGCAAAGCTGGAAATGGTACACAAACACAGCAAAGGGCATGCTGTGAACCCTCAGCCCCAAGGCAAACCCTGCAGTGGCGAAGCCCCAGAGGCCAGCACAGATCAGCCGGTGACAATGATATTTATGGGCTACCAGAACATCGATGACGAAGAGGAGACAAAGAAGGTGCTGGGCTATGACGAGACCATTAAGGCAGAGCTGGTCCTGATTGATGAAGATGACGAGAAGTCATTGCGGGAGAAGACAGTGACAGACGTCTCCACCATGGACGGGAATGCTGCTGAGCTGGTCTCTGGCAGGCCCCTGTCGGACACGACAGAGCCCTCCTCTCCAGAGGGGAAGGAAGAGAGCCTGCCTTTGGAAGCTGCCCCAGGTACACAAAAGAAAAAGCGCTGTCAATGCTGTATTGTCATGTGAACACCTCCTCCTTCCCCGCTCTGGGCAGCTCCTGCTCCATCATTTACCTAGACCTCACTGTACTTCTAACTGCAATACTGTGAACTGGAAGTGAATGCCTCCATTGCCTTGCAGTTGGGTTGCTTTGTTCCTAGTTCTTCAGAAAGAGGAACGTATGGTTATTTTCCCATCAGACATACTATTTGGGGTTTGGGGAGGGCTTGTGGGGTTTATTGCTTCTTTTTTTGTTGTTGTTGGAATTTTTTTCTTAGTATTGCAGAGTGAGAGAAATGGGAAATAGAACAAATCTTTTCATATTTATTTGATTTATATATATTATATATATAATGAAAACACTTTTTGCATTTTTCTTTGGATATCTGGCAAGCTTGATCAGATTCCTAGGATTTTATGGGATTCTGAGTATCACAGCAGCTAGATACGAGAGCCTTAAAAAACTGTTTCTTCTCTTTTTTAAGAAAAATAACATTTAAACATTATTTTGTAGATCCTTTTTTTTATTTCTTGGGGGAAGGCTTAGATCATTTTACTGTTTTAATTTGCTAAAACTCAGACAAGTCTTTCCCAAAAAATTTGCATAGTTTTGTTTTATAGTAACTTACAGTTTAGTTTGCGGTGTCAGAAAAACCCATCAGCCATTTCTGCTTATTGGTGATACCAAAAGTGGACCTTAATTATTCTGTCTAGAAAATGTATGAATGATGATTTTGCCTTATATAAATCTTCCAGATTACAGTATTGTATGTGTACTTCATCCCCCCAAATTACAGTTGAAATTAACTTGACATGAAAAAGATGCAGCTGTCACGCCAACTGAAATGGAGTCACTGATCTAATTACTTGCCTTTCAGTAACTCTGCCAATGTTTATACATGAAGTTTTTTTTTTTGAACTCCAGTAGATGAGAGATATTGCTTTCTATTTCCTTGGAATACAAATGAACTTCTCTCACAGTCTGACCCTCCTGCTGGAGTCAGTGATGAAATTCTTAGTGCTGGGAATGGGGGCAGGGCCAGTGTTTTATTTTGTAATCATTGAGGAAGTGTAATTTCTCATACAGTGTACCTCCAGTGCACCTACATAATGAGGTGATGGGTCTGATCCTGCCCTGCTTACCCAGGTAGAACTCCTGTGGAGACCCACCAGATTTTGTTGGAGCAGCTTTTCTGGGAGAAGATCCTACAGCTGCAAGGCTAACATTTTCAAAAACTGCTGGTGGTTTTGGATGCTTCATCTCCATGTGTGGGACACTTCAAAGGGGCCTGATTTCCAGTAAATTTTTTGCTTCATCTGCCCTCTGAAAATCAGACCTGTTAAAAACAACTCAAGGTGAAAACATAAAAAGGCGAAGGCATCCAAAATCAGTAGGTGTTTCTTTGTTTCTTGGTCCTTTGATTCTTCTAACTACAATGAAAAAGCAGCTAGCTTTTTCATGGCAAGATATTATGAGCCTGATTCTTGTCTCACACTGGTTTTGCCTAAGTGTAGCTTCACTCACTCTAGTGGAGTTAGTCTGAATTTTTAACTACAGAAGTGAGATTAAAAATCAAGATTTATATTTTCTGATAGTGTTAAAAAGTACTGAAGATTATTTTGAAGTGGTTTTGAAACTATCAGACTTTAAAAATCAATAACAGCAACAAAAAAAAAAACAAAATAAAAAAGTGAAAAAAAAAAAGTAAGAAAGAAAATGACAAAAAGCCTCTTTCCAGTCTGAGGTGGTTCCTATGATATTTCTGTTCTTTCTTGGATGGTGCTTTTACTGCATTAATTGTTAGTTCAGAGCATCCAATTAAACAGAGTTCTTGCTCTGTACTCTTTTCTTTCTGTGCCAGTAAAAAAGACACTTGCTCACAGTGGTGGTAACATGAGGCACATTGAAAACATACACACAAAAAAAAATACAAAAGGTAGTTCATGCGTTAGGTCACTCATCTGTCAGTATGGAGCTGGTCAATGTAACTTCTCACCACTGCCCAGGTGATAGTCAGAAGAAAAAAAGCAAGTGGAGAGTAGGAAAAGACAGCCACATCCATATCACATCTGCAGAAATTTTGCTGGCCTCCATATTTGCCACAGTGGCCGGATTTAATTGATTTCCACATACTCCCTCCGCCTCCCCTGGAGGCTTCTGGATGGGAGAAGGACCAAACTCACCCACAGAAGCTCTGCACATCATCCCTTGACTCAGGCCTAGGTGGTTAAATTCTATCAAAGAGAGGAATGGCCACAGAGCCCAACGTTGCAACAACAGGTCTGGTGGCTGTTTGTTGGAAAATAGCAACCTGTGTTTTGTTTTTTTTTGGTTGGGTTGTGTGGTTTTTTTCTTTTTTTCCCAGAAACACTAAGCATTTACAAATCTCAACATTTCTTAAAACAAGACCCTGAGTTTTCAACCGCAGGGTGGCCTGGCGAGACTGTCCCCAGGCACGTTTAGGACCCCAAAGCACTGCAATGCAAAGGGTGAAGCCCTTTCCATCTCGCCCCTACCATGTAAGTGCCACAGGAGCTGGGCGCTCTTTGCAATAGTTCTCTTACTCTGGGGCCTGTTCACCTTCACCAATAACACTCAAAAACAAATCTTCCAGCCATCTCCTCCTGGCCTGGCAGGTCGTCTCATTGCTCACCACCCTTTCCTCTCCAGGTGTGATGCCGCTTTCACGGCCACCCTGGCCTCCTGGTGTCTTCCCAGCCTGATCTTTTTCCTCCTGCCACTCCTCTCCCCTGTGGACATTTTTTACCAAAGCCTTCTGCTCGGGCAATTTGGATTGTCGTCTTTAGCCTAATCCGCTCTGTCCATGCATCTCTTCAGCCACGTGTTCACCTGATGACCTTCTGGTTCAGCACAGGCTCAGCATTTTGGGGATGACTCCCTCAGTGGCCAGCTTTGGGAGATGCTTGCTGAGGCTGGGGCCAGAATGTGTCTGAGACCACTGCACCATCTGAGGCACAATGTGACAGGGAGATGGTGGCACGCAAGAGTCCAGAAGTGGCCCTTTAGTGGTTAGAAGTAGAGCACAAGCCTTAAACCTTAAACCTGCTAAATACCTACTGCTCAGTACTTGTAGCTAACATTGAGTGCCTAGGAAGGCCAGTGTTTTTTGTGTGTTCGTATGAACTCCATGGTTAATGGGCCCCATAGATCCAGAAAAGCTAAAGGTTTGTTTGCATAGGGTTTGTCTTTACGGGTCAAAGGCAGTTCCATGTCTGAGGTCAGGAAAAACACAAAACAGGAGCAAATCAGTCTAAACTAGGAGGGCCTTAGCTACATCAGCTGAAACACGCTTACTCCAATGATCCTCCTCCACAGGGGCAGCAGGGGTAACTGGACAGCAGCTTGTCCCTTCTAGCCATTAGCCTGCAGCTGAATTACAGGGGAATTCAGATGCATTTGCCTAGGCTGATGAATGTAAACCGGTTTTCCAGGGCTACTTAGGGCTTCAAAGAGGTCAGTTTTCCCCTCACCCTCAGGTAGGAAGCTGCCTGTGGAAATTCATGCACAATCAGGTGCGAAGGAAGAGGTCCACTCTACAGTCAAGCAGAGAGAGATTTTTGTAAGGATTATTATAGGAGCTTTTTTTTTGGTATTGTTTTAAGCAAACTCCCAGCCTGTTTAACTTATGCCATCACACATACATTTTCCATTTCAGCATGGGGGAATACAAAAAGTAGAGTCAGAAATTGGTTCAGTGACAGCATTTTGCCACGACAAACTGCTCGCCTTAACTTTTGTAAGAAAAGCAAAACGAAAAAAAAAAACCTCTTTTCAGTGTATCTTTTCCTAGACTGGGAAAAAGTAACCTATGAAACTTTTTTATATTTTGTATTTTCTAAGTTTCTATGAACCCACTTTCCATGTCGTCCCTCATTTTCATTCAGGGACTGTTTCTTTTGCAAACCACTGCATTTTACTTCCATTCTTTCTCTTTTTTTTTTTAACAGAAGAAAAATACAAATCAAAAGACACAGCATTATGATTAGTGGCTAGGCAATCTCGTTCAGTTACAAGAATATCAATACAGAAAGAAAAGAATTACAGGGTTGTTTTCTTTTTTTAATTTCCCGTGGCTGATGTACTGTATGGTATATGTTTACAGAACTCCTCTGGTCTGCCTTTGTGATGCTATCTAAATGAAATGTAGGTATGATGTGCCATTTGACAGTTTGCCTTAGCACTCTTGGGTTTCCTCCTTCTTTTTGTAACTTTCTTTCCCTTATTTTTTTCCAAAAAGTGCAGGCTGTATTCCAAAGCTGTATAAACACAACATTATCTTTCAATCCCCAGCAAGAGAAGTGTGCACAAGCCCTTCTCCATGAAGCGTACCTCTACCAGTGCAATAGACAACCTCAGCCCTGCAAACAAAAATGCATACACCTAATTCTGCTGTGTGTAGACCTATGTCAGTCAACAGGACTACTCACGGGAGGGATGTGTGTAGGTGTCTGCAAGATCAGGGCATGAATGATTAACACAGGGTGTATCTTTGGTGTCATTTGTGTACCTGTACCGATTTTATGCACTGCTGAGTTTGTCCAGGTGGTGTAATCCGAGAGGCTAACTCTGAGCATTGCTACTTCTGCTGAGAAAAACACACAAAAAATGGTGCTTAGCATCTGGTAGGATCAGGTCCCAAGTCAGCATTGCTGCCATAGCAGTGGTATCCATGAGCAAATATTAAGTGGGACTTCCCTGACAGCTAATATATTAGTCCCCTGCCATTGTACCTAAGTTCACTACTGATTCTTCGTGCTTAAAATTATTACAGATACAACAAATTAATCGGAGCAGGAAGAAAGCATACAGAGTTGTTAGAGAAGTAAAAGGTGTTCTACCTTTTGGTTTAGTCTAAAGTCCAAATGACATACTTGGAAAGTAAGTGGGGATATAACAGAAAACCTAGTATTTTACATTTGTGTATTTTTTTAAGGAATAAATATTTTTGTAATGAGATACAAACCCTAAATAGGGATTGAGTTTCTGAATATCATCCTTCCCATGA